GAAAACATTGGAGGCTTCTCTCTCTTTGTGTCCTGGACTCTGAAGCTAACATTTAACAGTTTATTTCTTATTTTCCCTCCGTCTTAGTAGGAGGGAAAATAAGAAATGATGATGAGGCTAACATTACTGTTTATATCCTTTTATTTGTCCCTAAATGTTGTCTAATTGAGCTCCAACAAGGGCGTTAGCATGCTAATGCTAGCATTCGCTGCTTGACCAACAAGTGTGCTAGCTGTTAGGGTTAGCATGACATGCTAATGCAGCTAGTTAGCATCGGCTAACTAGCTGAGTTTAGCTTAAAACTTTTTGTAAACACTTTATAGTTTGAACAGCCTATTATAAGCTATATTCAGGCCACATCGGTCCGTGGAAATACCCTGAATCGGCCGGCTAACGGCTGCCGGGGCGGAGCGGCTGGCTAACGGCTGCCGAGGCGGAGCGGCTCACCGGACGGTTCCTCACCGCTTCACTTCACTCCGGGACGATCCTCAACGGCTTGGAAAAACCCCCAGAACAAATCCGCTAAAAGTGCCGCAGATGTCACATCTGTGGTCTGAATGGCATGGCCTTTGCACAAATACCTCGGTTACAAAAAAAGTGACTTAAACTATTTACAGTGGAACTTTGGATCAGTGTTTTCGGCCCCTTGGAGGATTCCGCTATGGCGCAGGGGGAAGCGGAACTACCGGCCCAACCCTGGCCGCTTCAACCCGCCTGGGCTGCTCATCACCCACACTGACTGACAACACGCACTCCTTTCAATGCTATATACGAAAAATAATTTAAAAAGTTAAAGATTTAATTTAAAAAGTTTTACAATATTTATATTATAAGCAGGGCTGAATTTTGGAAATATTTGGCCCTAAGCACAGACAGGCAGGGGCCCCTCTGAATAGAGAACATAAAACAGACCCATCAATCCAGGGGAACCAATTAAAAATCATCATAAAGAAAATCATCAACCAGTAAAGGTCTGGAGACATTTTTAATTATAATCTGTAAAAGAATTTAACACTGAAATAAAATGAGGTGTTTATGCATCCATGTTATACTTTGGCTTTTTTTTTTTTTTTTTAAACATTTAACTTTTTATTGGTATTTTTCACTTTTTTACAAATACAATGTACATGAACAATATACATTGAACTCAACGTAACATTGAGCTTTCACTTTGGAGCTTTTCATCTATTTGGCCTTTGTCCCGTCTAGTTTATTTTTTAATCTTTGTCGCTGTCTTTTGTCTGAATCTTGTCCATTTCCTCCATTTGAGTTTGTTGAAGTCTTAGACGATGTGTCAGCTTTTCCATAATGTAGATTTCTTCTATTATTTCAGTCCATTGTTCTTGACAAGGGGGGGTCTGCCTGTCCCCATTTCCTCGTGATAGCTTTTTTGCTAGCTATTAACAAAATCTTAATCAGATTCCTGTCTTTTACCCGTACTTTGATATTGATCAAAATGCAAAGGTAAAGCACCACACTGTTTATAGGAATATCATATCCCAGTATCTTCTTTACAGTTTCATTTAAATTTTTCCAAAATGTAACAATTTTAGGACAGTTCCAGAATATGTGAGAATGATCAGCATTCATTGATCCTTATACATTGGCTTTTTAAATAGAAATAAAATAAAAAATAGAATGTTTTTACATTGTAAAGTCATAGGGAAGCAGAACGTAGCGGAACATCTCTGATGTTGCTGCTATTTTCAAATGTCCATAGATTTATTTGGTTATTGTTTATCTTTTAAATCGTCACTATTATGTTATTCTTATACATTTTTCTAAGGTCCACATTTGTGTGACCATTTTTTCTATAATCGTTTTGCTGCTATAAACAGCATAATTTCCCCGCTGTGGGACAATAAAGGGATTTTCTATTCTATTCTAATGTGCTCTATCCAAAACGCCACAAGTGGAAAAGTTTGAGTTACACCGTGTTTAATTTCTTAAAAAGCCTTCTTTAAAGAATGTTGGGCTCTCCGGTTATTCATCAGTTAATCAAAAAATATTCAACAGGTTAATCGTTAGTTGCAGCTCTACCCGATATGAAAAAAAATAATAATAATCAGAAAAAATACCAAAAAAATAACACTAGTTAAGCTCCTTGGAGCAAATTTAATGATAGAACTTAGTATGCTTCACACCATAGCTCTGTGTGTTGTTTACAGCAAACAATGATTCTTGTCCCAGACACCTTTCTTTATTTTTACATTATAACCTGATGCACACAGGTTTTGCTGACAGTTTCAGCTTAAATGATTCGATGTTTTAACATGTATTTAGACAACGCCAGAGAGCAGATCACAGTGACTAGAAGAGTCCCGCTGCATACGAGCTTCGTCGCTGACCCGTCACCAACTGGTAACATCATACTGATGATGCTGCTGCCCTCCTAAAGGAAAGAAGACATTTTTTTAATTATTAAGGAAAAGAATGAGACAATCGGGTTCTTTGTTTTTCTTTTTAACCAAACGATTCATGGAGAGTTTGTGAAAAATCACCTGCTGCTGAGATTTTTTAAACCATGAACATGTGCTGGAATTGCTGACAGTGCAGGGAGCATTTACTACAGGATAGGACTCAAATCTGTGAAGATCTGTGCCTGAAAGAAAGAAAATTACAAGGTTTGACTTAAATCTGTACTTTATTTACTATTTTCCTACACAACACTGAAGCATGTGAAAAAAATATCAGATTTTTTTTGTCATAAAAAAGATCCACCAATCAATTAGCCAGAGATTGAAATCCTTGAATTTCTATTCACTTGACAAAAAAAAAAATTAAATTCCATAGTTTTCAGTCCAAATGCATGTTCAACCTTTGATGCCAATTTTCTTAATTTGAAATCACATACAGGTCAGAGACATACCATCCCTTCATTTTCTTTTTGATTCAAAAACTGTGGTTTCAATCAGGTAATATAATTAATTTCTCTGTCTGTCTTACAAAAATAAATTAATCTTGTAAAAAATAGAACTGGCCCGATAAGTAGACCGTTGAATCTTTATTTAAGAATGGAAAACAAAGACTTCACCCCAAACAAGCAAGATGTGACTTTTAAGAAATGGGCTGAACAAGGTCTCACATCATACTGTACTTTTTTCACACAG